GTGGGGACACCACTGCATCTTAAAACCAGCTCTCGCCATCTATTTTCGTCCTCTGCTTTCCTCAGATTGTCACCCATCGTCTTTCCTGTCCTCTCTGTAATGTCCTCCCATCTCCTTCTCTGCCTTCCTCTCTTTTTCATTCCTTGTACGGTTCCTTGCAAGATTGTTTTGGCAAGTTCTGTGGATGTTGTGACATGCCCATACCATTTTAATTTTCGTCTCTTCACTGTAGTCAGTAGATCTTCATTCTGCCCCACTGCGTTGGTGATTTTCTTTCGTACCTCAGCATTTGAAACGTGGTCTTTGTACGAGATGTCAAGGAGTCTTTATTGCGGTAACATCTCATCTCGGTGGTCTGAATCTTTTTCTCTAATTCTTCTGTTAGTGTCCACGACTCGCAGGCGTATAAAATATTGAGATGACCTTCAATCAAACATGTTTCTGCTAATATTCAAGACAGATTGAGGATTAGGGGGGGGGGGGGGTAATCAAAAATAGACTAAACCAGGTTTAGGGGGCTCTCGTGGCCTAGAAGTTAAGGTGTTCGCATCTCATTCAAAGGTCCCTGGTTCGAATTCAGGTAGCGACGGGAAAATTTTCTCCTCTAAAATTGTCTCCTTTTTACCTCCTATCCTGCTCTCTGTTCTGTCGTCTGCTTTCGTCTCTACTTTATGCCCCCACCACCTCACCTCCTTTGCCCCCTCCTCTGGGCTCCTGACTCTTTCTGTAGCCTTTCTACTGCTACTTCTTGGCTCTTTCTTACTGATGTCTTTCAGCCACACCCCTGATCTTCTGGTAGGAAAGGTCTACACATAGCCTTCTCGGACAAGGGCGAAAAATCTCGGAGGGCCAGCGTGCAAGTTGCGCACGTTAAAGATCCGTTGGTGGTCTAAAATCGATAAGAGTAGAATCTAGGCTTCGGCCGCCACCCGGGCAAAATTCAAAATTTACTACCAACTGGATATGTTTAATGTGTCCCGCGCGCTCATATGTGAGCCAGCGTGGTGGAATCAGGCTCTTGTCATTTTTTGGGCATGGAGAGTTATTGGTATCATCTTAAAGCTTGTTCACTTGTCTTTATTTGAATGCAAAAAATATCCATTTATCTTCAATACAAGTCGAGATATTAGCAAAAGAAGGAGGTGGGGGTCACCTGTTTTCAGAGGTAAAATTAGGTAAAAAATGGCCGCCAAAGATTAGTTATTTCCTTAGGTTAAGAGTCCGTGGTAACTGAAGATTTACATTTTTTATGCCTCTATTCAACGCTTTTCAGAAAAATCCACACAGAAATGAGTTCTGTAATGGGCAAGAAAGGTGTTGAGTACAAAAAACAAAAATTTGATAAAAATTCACAAACCCGTTTCTTCACTTCGATTATTTTGACGAGAGCCTGATTCCACCATGCAGCCTCACATATGACCTTATGCACTGGCGAGCGCTGTAAAACACTATGCACTATACTAATAACTCCGTACGCCTCCAATTTTAAAGTGGCCTTGGTAGCCTAGTGGTTTGGCTACCGGACTCGTAATTGTGAGATTGCAGGTTCGGGGGTTCGAGCCTCAACTCGGTCCGACGTTGTGTCCTTGGGATAGGCACTTTACACGAACTTCCCACTTGGCTCGGTCGTATCGGAGACGGACGTTAAATTAGGAGGCCCCGCCTCTTAAATAACCTAATAGTGTTGAAAGGGGCGTTAAACTCATACCATTTCACCATTTTCACCCCAATTTTAATGATGATCGTCTCATTTCACCGCGTCGTGACACCAGATATTATAAGAACTGGTGCTGTTCTATACGTAGTACGTAGATGTTGTAAGAACTGGTGCTGTTCTATACGTAGTACGTAGATGTTATAAGAACTGGTGCTGTTCTATACGTACAAGAAAAAATATATCGTGGGTTTGTAGGCGAGGCTAAGCGCCTTCAGTACTCGTTAGCGTAACCTCATCTCGCTCGGAGGTCAGGTCGGCTGGTATGGCAGTTCAACTGATCCCAAGAGAAACAGCCGTGCGCGTGAGATGAAGCCGAGTGGTTACAGGCGCCATCTGCTAATTTTAAAGGAAAGCCGGGGATACCTTGTTGTTATTTTTTGCTGTCAAGCTGTGACAGATGTGCAGCTATCTCAAGTAGGCCTAACCTCCCTTATCCCAAATCAGGGTCCTGATCCTGTTTGTCGCTACGTAAATCTGTTGTTGCTACGAAATGGAGGATTAATGCTCAGAGCAAAGAGCGCTGATCTATTGCGATGGACGCATTGGCTACGTATTGTAAGGATCTTAATAAAACTGAAAGACGTACAAACTGTTAAAGTTCACTGTGTTAAAGGGGGGGGGGGGGGGGGCTACATCTGAAGGCTATCATATAAAACAGGCATAGTAAGGAGTCTTAGAATCCGCAATCAAATTCGAGAAACAATTTTCTTGTCCATGGATATGTCGGCCATATTGGATTTTGTTGACATGTCTTACGTAATGAATACAGCACTAAGACTTATTGTTCATGCAAATTGATTGGGGTTGTTGTTGTTTTGCATGCATGTCAGCAAACATTCGATCTAAAAATTTCTTCGTTGATTTTCTCTTTAACGAATTAGAAAATATTTTACGAATTTTTTCCTGAGGTGGTATTGAAGTTTGCACAAAAAAATCCGTGAAAATCCACACTCCATACACCACCAACAAAAATCTATTCCATATGTCGAACATTCAAAAGCGACGTGTTTAGTATTACATCTTCTCTGCATTCTGTGAAAATTTCTTGAAGATTGAACGAAAAATGGTCGAGTTATTCAAAATCGTATATAGAAAAATTGCGTTTTTGAGAAAACGGCCGATAAAGAAAAATAAAATATTGACTTTATGAGAAAGCGGTGGCGACAAACATGTCCGGTATGGAAAGAAATAAGGTTTTTTGGGGGTGTTCTAAAGTGATGAAATAGTTGTAGGAGAGGCTGCGGAAGCTAAATAGGCCTACAACTCAAATTGGACAGGCAAAGAGGATGGAATGGTGGTCACGGCGCCTTTGACCCTCACCTAGCACCCACTCTGATAATAAGAAATATTAAAACTATTCCTTTTTGTGACGTATAGACTTACCCGACATTTATCATAAGTACGCAGCTTTAGGCAGTTTTACACTAACATAGACGGCAAGAGATTTCCTGTTCTGCGCTGGGCTCCATTTTCTGGCTAAGTAAAAAAACAAAAACAACAAAAAACAAAACAACAACTTCAACAAAAAGAAAAAAAACAATAACACAAAATAAGACAACAAAGTTTTTGAAAAGATGAAAAAACTGCTGGAGTGTACTTTTTAGGGACACAACCTTGACCACAACTTTGACCACGAATGGTTGCCAGTAGACTAGTCTGCTGACGCCACAGAAAATGATGGGCAAGTTCCATATTGGCGAGAAGACAAATTATTTTATTTCAAAGAAATTTCTCGGCAATTGATTTTACTACACGCGTTTCTCTGCACTTACGTGCGTTTTTAGTTGTTTGCATTAAAGTGAAAAGCAGTTTCCTTCTCAAATGCTTACTCGTGAATAAAGGCATCTGAAAACAAACTTATCCGTGTAGATATTACGGCAGTAAGTTTTCAACGTACAAATCTCAAAACATATGTCAAAATAAGCAGAGTTAAACCTTAAACCTAAAGAAAGTAAATCGTTTTGTTTTTTATTTGATGACACCGCAAACCCGATATTTTCAAGGATCTAAAGATAATAATAATAATAGTAATGATAATAATAATGATTTATGATAATAATAATAATAATAATAATAATAATAATAATAATAATAATAATAATGATAATAGCTTTGTTTAACGAATATCACTGCTCAGCAGCAATCTTGATGGACTGGCCAATCTGTGTCAATATCCCACAAGTCCCTAGAACACTCAGAAACATTCTGAACTTTGTTTTGCTTTATTTTTCAAACTCACAGCCAAGTTTTTGCTGGCCGTTCCAATATTCTGGGATTTGTTTTGCTTTATTTTTCAAACTCAGAGCCAAGTTTCTGCTGGCCGTTCCCAAAGAACCTCACTATGACATGGAGTACAACGTCACAGTGACGGCAACGGGCATCTACTCCCGGGAGTCCGTGCTTCTAGAGTACAGGCCGGGCAAGGACAGGAGCAGAATCCTCAACCAAACAAGACTGCTGTTTGAGTTTGGTGTGTGTTTTTTTGTCCCCGCCCCCCTTACAATGACAATGACAATCTTTATTCATCTCACAGGGAGAAATTTGTCTAGGTCGTTTACAGTGGCAGTGTTCCCCCCACCCCTAACCTCTGTCTCCCCACCTCCACCCCCACCCCCACCCCTCAGTTCCTCCACACTCTATTGATGGCAATGCAAAATATCAGGGGTGTCTCAAACAGTGCACATTAGTCCGATTTGGGTACTTGGTTTTTTTTTACACCAGAGACAACAAAGAAAAGCAAACTAGTTGTTGTTGTCTTGTTCCTATCAGGAACCATGAAAAGCATGACAATTGTAAGCTTTGACCACAGCATTAAACAGCATTTTGGTGGTTGCTGAAAGGCACATCTTTGACAGAGAGTGTAAAAACCGAAAATTCTCAAAATTTAGACTTAAGTGTATCGCTTACGACATCGAGGAATGTAACGTGTTGTCATTGAGTGTCTTAGCATGATATTGTGTAGTATGTAACGTTGTTGAATGATTAACTATATCTATACACTAGCTGGGTACCCGTTCAATGAACGCTCAAAATAATCAATTGATAAGTCATTGTGGACAGTGCCCACTGCTTGTGACAGGAAGCTTCACTTGTTAACAATGGCGGACTTTCCAAAGATTAAATCTAAACGAAACTAATGGAAAAAAACCCCGACTAAACTACAGTGAGTTCAGACTCCTTGATATAACTATGCACCCGTTTAAATGATTCTGAACCATCGTTAATTTGTTCAAATCCAAAAGTTAAGTGGTTGGAAGTTTTAGGCGACCGAAGTGATGTACTTTCACAAATCTATAAAATATATTATATTGATTAATAATTAATGACAAAATTCATTTTTCTATTCCGTTAAATCTTGAGTTCGTTGAGTATTGTGGTCCTCCAGGATTCATTTCTTAAAGTCAGTTAATTTAATTCATCCACCAATACGTTCCTTCATTTAGTATTTATATTTGTTCATCCTTTCATCCATTTATTGATGTGTTCATCAATCCATGCTCTCATTCATTCATTTATTTATTTATGTGTTCAGCCATCCTTTCACCCATCCAATGAAGAAGTCGACATCATTATGCAATAAATCACAAAATGAATCCAATTACTAACTTACTTTTACTTTTTCATCCTCTGTTGCCATTAAGCGTCGAGGAGAGATGCTGTCTTCTATGGTAGGTCAGCCCCGCAGCTCTCTCAGTTGGGGTATGGTTATTCAGGGTTTCCTTGACACACTCAATCCACATTCTGCGTGGCCTTCCTCTTCCTTTATAGCCTGAGTGCTTGGTTCAGACAGGACTCAGTGGCAATAGCAGTTCTTATTTCTTCATTTTTCTGCCTGTCCCATCTTGAGATGTTTAGGGTTTTGCGGAGACATTTCATTTTGCATATAGTGATTTTGCTTTCATGTGTTTGACTTCATGTCCAGGTCTGGTACTGATAGCATAATGTTGGTATGAATATTGAAGTGATAACCTGTTTCTTTGTGTCCATGGAGATGTTTGGATGAGATAGGAGGGGTGCGAGCTGGTAGGTGACAGTGTTGGCTTTTTGAGTTCGCATTTCTATTTCTTTGTCTTTGGAGTCTTTGTAGGTTTGAATAAATGAGACATTGGTCGTCTGCGAATAGAAGTTCAATAAGGCTTTCTGGGCTATTTGTGTCTTGCGTTATTGTGTCCATATGTTATATTATCAACAGGAGGGGAGATAGAACGCATCCCTGTCGTAATCCTGATCTGCACTTGGTATATAGAGCTCTGGTATTATCTAACACTAACAGTTGGCCTCTGACACCATACCTTTTTAGTGTCTTCCAGAGGATGGCATGATTTACTCTGACAAAAGCCTTCTCCTGGTCTATAAAGACGATGTTGAATTCTTTGTTGTGTTCGATGGTTTTGTTACATAGCTGTCGTAATGCGAATACTACATCCGTGCATCTTCTTCCCTTTCGGAATCCACACTGAGCTTCGCTCAGATTTCTCTCTACAACAATAGGTCTCATCCGCTGTTCTAATATCTTCCCGCACGTTTTCCCTGTGGGGTTTAGCAAAGAGATGCCTCTGTACGTTGTGCAGTCGCGTTTGTTGCTTTTCTTTTTCCATAATGGGACCACTATTGCTTTCTGTCAGTCTTCTGGGCATTTCCTTTGCCCCCAGGCTCTATGAAAAATTCGCCTCAGCCATAGTTCACCGGTGTTTTCACATGCTCTCATGGCTTCCACTGCGATGTCATCTCTGATCCTGAGGCTTTGTTCTTGGGGTTGGTTTTGAGTGCCGTTCCGATTTCTCTGAAATTTTCCCAAAGGGTGATTCTGTTTGCTCATCATATCATGGCTGGAACTCGTTTTGTTGTCTGTGGCAAGCGTCTAGGTTGACTAGTTCTTGGAAGTAATTTTCCCATCTTTTCTTAATAGCGTCTGTTCACAACTTTTTAACACTCTCTAGGGTTTTCCTTTTCAGATTTTGGTTAGTTTCTAGCTATATATATTTTTTCCCTGCATTTTCTTTAGCAGTTTTGATAATTATTTTGGTCTCTCTTCTCGGATTCCTGTATTCTATGTAGTCCTCTTCGGTCTTTGACCTCTGCCATTTCTTTAATATCTTATTTTTCATTATAATTTCTTCTTTGGTTTCATCTTATGTGTTGTTCTGCCTTTGTTTCTGCCTATGCGTTTGGTGCCAATATGTTTTTAAAGTATTTCTGACGAGGATTTTTTAAAAATGTTTGCCATTCTTCTTCGACATCTTTGATCCCATATGACAGCTTATTGCACTCTATGGTATATGGTAATGCCATCCTCGATAGCCTTCTTGATGTCTGGGTTTTTTTTTCAATTTTATCTTAAGTTGGTCTTTGTTTTCCCCCTGTTCTTCTTTGTTTGCTTCACATTGCTGGTTGTGAGAGTAAATAGCACAGGTCTGTGGTCCGTGTCGATGGTGTTGTTTGGGAACGCTATCGAATCTTTGGCTGTATGTCTTTGTTTTCTGCACATCAGGATGAAATCAATTTGTGATGCATGGTTCAGGTCATTCCATCTGCACCAGATCTTGATTTGGCTTGATCTGTGTTGGAAAAATGTGTTCATTATCATCATGTCGTAATCAGCCCATAGGTTTAGTAGATTTATCATTTCTCCATTGCTGTTGAAGTCTGTGTCTTTATCATAGTGAGGTCCCAAGTACTCTTCCCAAGCGGGTTCTTCTTTGTCAAACTCTGCCATTTACACCTCCCAAGATAAATCTAATTTATTTGTTCTTGAAGTTTTTAATGTTGTCACTCAGGTCATGGACATAATATGATTGCTTATCTTCTCTTGTATAGCTGTCGTTACAGGAAACGTATGTTTGGATATATTTACGTTGTTGTTTTGCCGCCCTCTGTGAGTTTTATGCTCACCAATCGCTCTGACATCTGGTTGACGTCACAGATGGTATCCATTTTGGCTGGGTGTATGATGAAACTACACCATGTTTGGCTCTCTCATTTTCAGGTGTTCAGCTCCAGCTTGCTGTGGTTGCCTCTCTTCGTTATGTCTGGCAAGCGCCTGATTGCTATTTTCTTTCCTTTCATGGAACTCCTTATTTCTGGTTCTTTGTCTCCAAGTCCGCTGACATGTGAATATTTCAATCGCTGTTCTAGCTCGCTGTCCGTTTACTTTTCCTCTTCTTTTTCCTGTTGAACCTGTCCGTGTTTTCTCCTTTGATTGTTCGAAGCAGTGATTATCCGCCGTCAGCTTGCTAAGCCAGTCACGGTTTCACCAGAGCCCCTTTAGCCAGCAACGTTTCGGGGTGACCCAGGTCGGCCTTCACGGCTAGCGTAACGCCTCATTGACACAAAGTCTCACCGTACTTCACCCAGACCCAGCTATCCCCATATTTTGTCCTGTTTCGACCTCTCCCGAAGGGTTGGACTTTATTAATCCAATCATTACGTATTAATGCTTTAATGATAACCAGACGGTGTGCAGTTCTAGGGTGTTGTGTTTCCCTGGGAGCGTACACAAGAGCTTGACGAGACTTCCCTGCAGCTGAACATTATAAACATCTATTCATTCATTTATTGAATTGTTTATTCATTCATTCATTCATTCGTTCGTTCGTTCATTCATTCATTCCTTCATTCCTTCATTCCTTCATTCATTCATTCATTCATTCATTCATTCATTCATTCATTCATTCATTCATAATACTTTCATTTTTCATCCATTCATTCATTCATTCATTCATTCATTCATTCATTCATTCATTCATTCATTCATTCATTCATTCATTCATTTATGTATGTGTTCACCCATTCATTCATCCATTCATTCATTCATTTATTCATGTGTGTCATTCATTTATCCATCAATTCACCCATCCAATGAAGAAGTCAGTATTGTTACTATTATTATTTAATGTCATAACCCATTACTTGCGTATTAATGCTTTAATGACAACCAGACGGTGTGCAGTCCTGGGGTGTTGTGTTTCCCTGGGAGCGTATGCAAGAGCTAGACGAGACGTCCCTGCAGTTGAACATGATCACAGAGAGAAACGGGAGAACTGAGACGGTGTCTCTCCACTTCAGCCGTTCCTCAGGCTACATTTTCATCCAGACGGATAAGCCTGTCTACACGCCAAGGCAGACAGGTAGTTCTTTAGTTTGTTGTGTGTGTCCGTGTGTGTGTGTGAGTGTGTGTGTGTGTGTGTGTGTGTTTGTGTGTGTGTGCGCGTGTGTATGTGTGCATGCGTGAGTGTGTGTGTTTATGTGTGTTTATGTGTGTGTGTGTGTGTGTGTGTGTGTGTGTGTGTGTGTGTGTGTGTTTTGTTGTTGTATTTGTGAGTTTTTTTGTTGTACGTTTCAGTTTGTGTGTTTATTTGAGAAATTTGTTTGTGAGTTTTGTGAGTGTTAGTTTGTTTCTTTGTTTCTTTGTAGAGTTTGTTTTGTTTGTGAGTTTGTTTGTTTGTGGGGTTGTTCGTTTTGATGTTTGTTTACTTGTTTAGCTACAACGGACTTCATGCAGTGGTACGTGTATCTGTTCACGCCGAAATAGACAGTCCGCATTTATTGGTTTTGTGTTTGTTTGCCCGATTTGTCTCTTTGCCTAGACCAGTGGTTTTGAAACTTTTTTTGCGCACCGCCCCCGTTTTCTCTCAGCCGAGTGCCAGCGCCCCCTACTCTATCTCAACCATCAATCTGACATAGCGACATGTTATCAATAATCACAAACAAAGAGAGAACTCAAACAGCAGGGTACAAAACAACGTGCCTAAATTCTAATGATTTGGATCTGAATAGAAATATTAGCTGGGTCAAAAATCGCAATCTTGCACAACAGTTTTCAATCAGAATGACTTGTAAGACTTCTTGAACATTGGTTTGATTTCAAATTCACTTTTCATTGTCAGAAGCTCTTCTTTAATTGCTACTGGCAAGTTACCATCTTTTAACTGTTGAATGCGTCCGGTACTCAGTCTGAAATTTCCAGTTAAAAAATATCAGTAAACCTTGCCTTCATATCAGTATGTAAATATCTGAGGTGGTTGGTATATATTTCTAGTCAGACACGCGCCCTTCTTTCAGTGTCTCCGCCAAGCAAGGAAACTGAGCAAATTCTCTTTTGCAAATGTTTTGGCGGAACGTTTCCAATTTCAACAAGAATGACGAAAGGATGGATTTTGCCTTGATCAGGTTTGTGTCATCCTCCTGCAGCTGCTAGTTGACCTGGTTGAACTTTGTTAAAAGATCTGTGAGGAACGCTATGTTGTCCTTGTGTTCTTTCTGTTTATTACAGAGATCACTGTCTATTTCTTGAAAAAACTCCTGCACAGAGTCAAACAGGCAGAACAATCGTGATAAACAGTTTCTTTTTGAGTGCCACCGGACTTCAGTGTGCAAAAGTAAACATTGAAAGTCCTCGTAATTTTCAGTGCACAGTTGTTGGAATAATCTCGAATTCAAAGCGTGGGCTTTGATCTTGTTCACACACTTGATGACAATGGCCAGTGTGTCATGCTGACTATCACTCAGGTTTTTTGCCACCAAATACTGTCTGTGAATGACAGAGTGAACAGTAAGTACTCCAGGGACTCATTTCTTCAAGTAGCTCATAAAACTATGGTGCCGACCTGTCATCGACGCGCCCCATCTGTTGCCCAGGCAACTATATTGGTCAGAGGGATCGGTTTCTCCTCGAAAAATTCTTTGGAAATGGACTCGCCTTTGGTATCTTTTTCCAAACTTTTCGTAAAAAACAATGTTTGCATGATTTCCTCACCCTCTATGAAGCGCACAAGAGTGAGAAGCAAAGCTTCATTTCCGGCAAAGTGAACTCGTCCAGCTGAAGACTGAACTCACGTCCTTTTTAATAAAAAGCATTTTGCACAACGATTCCTCAGCATTTGCTGACATCTCATCAATACATCTTTGAACTATATTGTCACTTAGTGGGAGAACCTTCACCACAGGCTCCAGGGCACGGTTCAGGACTGTGCTGACCACCCCTCTGCTCGCAGATAATATGAGGTCCTCACCAATAGAATGGGGGTTTTGTCTGCTTTTGCAATTAGCTGAGATCAATTAATATGTTGTTCGTAAGCCATCTTCAGATTAATTGACGTTGACTTCAAACATCGATTTAACTGTTTTTCTTTTCTGAAAATTGATCTTTATAGTTTTGAAGTATACCAGATCTTTGTCAGATGTGTCGGGATAAATCTTCTTTTAAGTGGTCGGTCATTCTTGAAGGCTTCATAGATTCATTGGAGAAAGACTTTTTGCAAATCAAACAAATCGATTGCTGCTCATTTTTGGGATCTGGTATGAACCCATACTTCAGATATTCTACTGAGTACTGCCTGCACTTCTTTGATTCAGCCATACTGAACGCGCCTGGAACAACAAAAAGGAGAAGGGGACAATGGGACTAACAAAGCTTGGGAAATCAGACTTTGAGTGATTTAGTGTACAAGTACATGCAGTGAAGGGGGGAAAAATAAACGTGCTTTATTCTGTATGAGAAAAAAATGTCATTAAAAAAAGGGATCAAGTTATCTAAGATCTAATTGGCGCAATGCCTCGTCAGTTATGTCTTTATCCTACAATAGTTATGCCATCAGCATGCCGATACTGGCCCTAACCGGTTGCCATTGCAAGGTACTTTTTACAATCACAGTTGCAGCATCGTTTTTTTTTGTGGGGGGGTTTTTCTTGTTTTTTTTTTGTTTCTTGCATTTCATGAAAATTTTACACCGCCCCATAAACCCTCGCTAGCGCCCCCCAATCGCCTAATTTCGCCACTGCGCCCCCCAAACTGTCACCGCCGCCACCTAGGGGGCGGTAGCGCTCACTTTGAAAACCACTGGCCTAGACCTTGTAACTTTCTTTTCTCGGCGAATGATAACTGTTTTCAAGGGGAAGGGAGGGGGAGGGGGGGCATCATGGTCAAGGTAACGTTTTAGGTTGTGTTAAGGGTGTTTTTATTTGAATTGCCTGAATTATGAGGATCCTCCTCCCGTTTTTACTATTTTGATTCCCACTTATTGAATAACAAAAACCATGAAAAACTGTTATTATACTTACGACTTTTGGCATGTTATGTTGTATATCTATTTCAATTGCCGACGCATATTTGGGTCCCTTTAAACATCGCAAGAACTTTTTAATAATTATATCACCTTTCCAAAATGACAAAATCCTTGTACTTTAAATGATATGCTTTTGTTAATATACTTTCCAAACAACTCTCTGTTTACAATTTTAATTTATGTTTCAGTCAAGTTTAGAATCCTTGCTGTGGACGAACACCAGAGGTTGGCTAAGTATCCCTTGAAGGTGGATGTCAAGGTGCGTGAGGGTTAGAAATAGACGTTTTCCTGGGATATCTTCCATCAGTTAAGAAGAAAAAAGTCATAGATCAATTCTTTTAGTTTTCCCTCTTATACTGGGCCCTGCAGAGAAGATAATTCTGTGCGTATTACTACCATAAAACTACAATGTTTTATCTGCTCAATATCTAGTTTTGAGAAATATGACGTAAACAATTTTGAGTTGCACAATTTATCAAGCTTTTTAGAATATTTGAATATCTTGATAACGACTCCGAATAGTTTTGCGATTTTGAAAGCAAAGATGGAACATTTATTGGTTTCTGAACTCAAGGGCATTGTAACGCAAAACACTTAAAATGTCAGATAGAACTTTGTAAGGTAGCGGTAAATCTGTTTGGCAAGCCAGAAGTCACAGAGGCTCTTTTTTAAAAGTAGTAATACATGTAATACAATGTAGGTAATAGATAGCATTTGTATCACGGAAATCCCCGTGTAGTAGTAAGCTCTATGCTCTTTATAATTTATAATATTACCACAGTGCACTTGACAACATTCTGAAACAATCTTAACTACATGAACTTCTTCTTCTTCTTCTTCTTCTTCTTCTTCTTCTTCTTCTTCTTCTTCTTCT